ATACCCTGCTGAGGTCACCACAGCAAATTGACACTGTTTGCCTAAAGCCAGAGCACTGCCCCAGAGCCTCTTTCGAGATCTCGTTGTATTGCTTTCACAACGGGCTTTACTGCTAGTAATATGAATGATACATGAAGTAGTTGTGAGATTGTAATGAGAAGATATGCATGCAGAAGGCTAAGGTGGAATTCTTAAAATATTTCTGTATTTTCTCCTTTTCCTCCTCGTTTCTGTATATGAATTAATAAAAACTTTTTTAAAAAGAATCTTAGATAAATCTAAAAAGTCTAAATAAAAGATTACGAATAATACAAATAAAAAACTATACGTGATCATTCTTCTTATTGAGAAATTTTACCAAGTGGAAGCAGAATTTGGCCATTTGTCTGAAGACAGATTTTCATTGATTAAAAGTCTCTCCAGGCAGGCCTTATCTGCCTCTACTGTTGGTCTGTCTAAAAATGGGGAAATAAAGTTATCCCAATAAATTTGATGGAAAGGCACCGAAAGAACATATGGACCATCGATTCTACTTCTCCGATAGAACAAGGGCAACATCTGTCTTCATACGGAATCTTCCTATATTTCCCATCTAAAACCCTTGAGAGGAGCCAAAGTGAAAGCTCTGCTATAAGATGGCACATCCAAATAAACAGGATATTTAGCCATATTCATAACGTATTTGGACTCACTAGGGGCCAGGAAAAAAGGAGCTTGTATTAAATCTCATTGTCGCTCTATTTCATGAACCCTTTGTTTGATGATACTTTTTGCCTGGGAACTACTCTGTGCCAAAAGATCCACAGGCGAAAGTACTATTCTTTCTAAATTGGTCTTAACCATTCACATCCTACTTGGGTGATAAAGGCCTTTTTGATTTGGATAGATCTTAAGCCACTTATATGCAGAAGACAACAGTATTCTAGCTTCTATTCTCATTTGATCCGTTTTAAGACATAAGAGGGCATTTGGCACACTGGGCGGTAATATGCGTTTAAGAAGCTAGCAAATGCCTTATATGATATATAGAAAATGGAAAACATTAGAAGATTTATGTTGTTGTATGCTAGCCTGTGTTCAGGGACATTTGTATAATGGTTCATTAATTTAGTACTCATTAAAATAAGAATCCCCAAAAGTAAGGGGGGGAAGGAAAATCAGTATCTTCTGAAAATCTGGAGAGAGAAGAATAGTTCAGAAATTATTGCATACCTCCTAGGCAAAAACGTTCAGTAAAATATCCTTCCAGCCATATAGCAATATCGGAAGGATGTATTTTAAGACCATCTTTTAACATTTACTAGTTTCCAGATGTTGGCTTGTATCCCACCTAGTTTCCTAAAAACTCCCCCTGAAATGCTGCTCCTGGGGGACAGGGAAATCAGAGGGTTCCCATGGGGGAGGGTTGGTCAAAGTCACCCCCTTCTTGCACACACAAAAATCTAGGTGGAATCCAGCTCATATTTACCCAGTATTTTCATACATGAAAAGAGGATAGAATCAGATAGCATTCCTGGAATTTGTAACTCTAGCTGGAAGTAGAAGGAAATGGATGTTGGTTAGAACTACTCTCTATTTTAGGGAAAGCTCCACATAACACATCATCCTGAGTGTCATTTAAGAAGAGTAGATTGGATTTATACCCCGCCCTTCACTTGAGTCTCAGAGCAGCTTACAAACTCCTTTCCCTTCCCCTCCCCACAAGAGACACCCTGTGAGGTAGGTGGGGCTGAGAGAGCTCTTTCCAGAACCGTCCTTGCAAGAACAACTCTGACAAGAACTATGGCTTGCCCAAAGTCATCCAGCAGCTGCAAGTGGAGGAGTGGGGAATCAAACCCAATTCTCCCAGATTAGAGTGCACACATTTAACCAGTACACCTCCTTATTGTTCCACACAAGTGTGATTCAGTAATTTTGATAATCTCCACCAAGATTTATACTCTATAGCAACATCCACCAGAAGTATACGAGCCCAAAGCATATGCCAGTTACAAACAAGATAAATACATAATATCCCAAGTTGCTATTACAGATGTTGTACTTGTCTAGTGACAGCCAAAAGCAAGCTGGTCTATGCACATACACGCGAGCAATCACTAGCCATATCACCATCTACAGGCACTCCTCAAAATCATGGCGCCAAAATCATGAAAACGCCTATTAATGTTTTAAATACTTTGTTTATATGTTTCTGAAGATAAGATACTGACAAAAATGGAAACATAAATGCAAAATGAGTATTGCAAAATAAACACGATAGCTTGGATGTTGCCTAAAATTTCCTTGGCTCCAAGGAGGGTGGGCAGTTTTTGCCAATTCCTTCCTCCTGTGACAGTCGAACAACCCCAAATGTTACTTCTGGGGGATGCACCCCCCCCCCAAATAAGCTTGGGGTGACACCTTTGTTATCTATAAAAATTCTTGGTGGGATCCAAGCAACTGAACCTATTTGTGAAGTATGATCACCTCAGGCATATGAAACATTGAAGATAGAGTAAATGGCCTAAAAAGACAAGATTCTACATCACAGACACTAAATCTGTGTATAACACTAATCACAAACCATTAATCAAAACTGGTCAGGAAAACTATCATTTTTATATATAAAGCAAGAATGTTTAAAATATATATGAATATACCAGGAACATTTGAAAAAAGTCAACTGAATAGGGATTCAGGTTAATCTTCCTACGAAAAGTTCATCCATGCTGTACTGCTGTTGAATGCGCAATACAGATAGCCCTCCATAACTGCCCAAAAACATATAGACAGGTATGCATGGATCTCCTGTTCACATGCTTCTGCTTCTTCCACACAACTACAGACAAATATCCTCTGAGTATGAAATAACTGTACGGACATTTATAAGACTAAAATATACTAAGCTAAAACTTTTATCTGCATAATTCCAAAATCTAAGTTTAAAGACATTTTTGTACCATAGTTCAATATGTTCTCATGAAGTCACCGTGAGATAACTTTAACTCCTGATTTTCTCCAAAAAGATATTCCTGTAGAGTGCCCAAAGTTACCATATCTTGAAATCTGTTATAGTCAAAAGCAGCTAACAGGCCCTATATATGTGTATATTTCAAATCAAGAGGCATATAAGAGACAGTGTGATGTTATGATATTTTGGGTGTGGAGATAGGTTCAAATCAGAAACATGGACTCATCGCATAACTTTGAATAAGAGGACACAGTGTGTTAATCTGTCAAGTGGAAATAACAATTGTATACATCATACAGTACCCTGGGGATGCATGAACCTTTTTACACATTTAAAATAGACACAGAAGTTAACAAAAATATTATCATAACTAATATAGAGTTAAAAATCCCACCACCATTAAACACTACTGGATACCTGTATGATAAGTATTATTTTTGTGATTTGTCCCTCTCCGAGGAACAATTCCAGGAAGCAAAACACCCTCTGCAGAACTTGTAGAATACTTGTCTTCGCTATCATACTTCACTGGTGCGAGGGTGGAATCTTCATCTTTGGTCCCATCATGGGAGACCACATCTATGCCAACAGTAAAGTAATTGAGATTGTAAACATTTTTCAAAGCTATTAACTGTATTTCACCCTAATCTACTAACCTTGTTCCCCTGCAAGAATTCCCTTGTATACCTTCTTAAAAAAAAAAAAAAGGCTGAACTGTATTTTTATAGCCAGCTTCTGGCATGAGATTTGCTACCATTTTTGAATTTTATAAAACATAACTCTAGTTAACTTGGGGACTGAATTCTCTATGCTCCACACCACCACCACCCACTGGACCTCCCGCAGGGGTGTCGAACTCACTGGAAATGTGTTATTTAAAGTTTTAAAAAATCTTTCCTCATGTTTGTCTGTGTCCTTTATAAAGTTTATATCTCTGCTACCTGGCATTACCTTTTATGACACACATGTCCCGGCCCAACATTTATGTCAGATCCAGTCCTCATAACAAATTAGTTCGACACCCCTGTATGTTTTCCTTCCTGCCCAATATCTGAGGTCACTGTGTTGATCTTTGACATTAGATGTAGGAAGCACGCGTGTGTCAGAGTTTGTTGATGGATGATGCTCATTACTCTCCCACCCCCAACAGATATTCATATTTTTGACTAGTGCCCATTTCATTATAAACTCTATAATATAGTTACTATACTATACTATAGTTACTATACAACCACCATACTAAACACAACTACAAGTCTGGTCCAACTAACTATTTACTGGTGGAAATGGATCATTCCTCATTCCCATCTCCTCCAACAGCCTCATTTGAGCCTTGGAAAAGCTATGTTCAGGATCAGACAAGATCACATTTTCCTCCTTCTTCTACCACTGGAAAGTTGTCAGGATCCAATCTATTGACTTTAAGCCATTGGCCGATTCACAGAATAATCATAATGAATGAGATGGCAATATCAAGAAAAAATGGAAGACACTGAAAACTATATAAAGCTTGTTTCTTTATGTTCTACAAGATTTACACATGATCTCAAACTAAAAGCCAAACGAATTCACATTATATATCAGCAAGAGAACAAGATAAATTCTCAGTGTGGAATATTTGGTCAAATGGTACAAGACACTCTGATCATGGTATGAGATATGATAATCCAAGAATCCAGACTTTTATCAAGATCTGATAATATACTAAAGCAACTACATCTTATTTCTTACATCATGATCACATGAACATAACGTAGGATTCAGAGTAATACCTGTATGTAGGGGATCATGTTCGCTTCCATTATTTGCAATAACTCCCATCAGTATATCATCTCTAGAAATATTAGTGGAATATTCTTCTTCCGTGTGCCAATCTGGCTGATGAACAGGAGGTAATGGCTCTTGAGTTGAATCTTCATGATGAGCATCATTGTTATGGATGACAGCTGTTTGATTAATCAATTATGAACTAAGATTTGATACACCAAGTGCCTTTTGCACTCCAATCTATTCTCAGGTTCCCTCATCCAATTTTCAGTTTCATAGTTTCAATGCCCTTGTGGTTTTTCCTAATAGAGTTGTAAACAGAGGTCATTTCGTGCCGAACGCGGGGGAACGCAGTTCCCCCGAGTGAGGTGCAGGGGGGCGGGGCACATGACCTGTAAATAGTTCTGGATGTTTGCCATCAAAACCGTCTTCCAGCAGTAACCCTTTACAATAAAGCACACTGATAATATGTGAGGCTATACTTTGCAGTTTTCCTTAACATTACACTGTTAAGTGTCCAAGAAAAGTGAAAGCCTCTTTTGGATCTACGTTATTATTGTAGTCTCTTGATGTTCAGGAACTAACCGTTTGGAAAGAAAACAAACTGCCAAAGTGACAATCAGCCCAGTCCAGAATTTCCTGTCTCTGTTCTCATACACTCTGTTAGAATGACTGAGAAAGCTAATGCACATCTAAGACCCTCACCGCCATTAAAAAAATCATAAATGCCAGCACATGATTCTGCGAGACACCTTTTTACTAGAGTTGCTGAGATCTTCCCATTTTGAAACAAGAAACAGTATTTGTCTGGAAAATGGTTGACAGTTTGTAATGATATTAAAAGCACCACACATTTCTGTTTTTCTCATGATAGTGTAGAGCTTTGGGATCTAACCACCACATGCTTGGTATAAAAGAAACAAGGAAGTGGTTAACAGGGAAGATCCCAGGAACATGAGGTAGGGAGTTTATTATCTCTACTGTGCACCAGATTTTTATGTATTATATTTTAAAGGACCAGACATTGCTCTTTTTTTTGTCCCTCCCAGTAGCATTTGGTGCAAGCTGAATTCCTTTTTCACTTAGCAGAAGTGAATCTAATTCAGTCTCCAGAGCACCTCCTCTACTCTATTTTAAAGCTTAGAAGGGAGAGAATTTTGCCAATTTCATCTTGCTGCAGATCCCTCCATGCCATGCCTGGGAGTCCCCTTTTCCCCAAGAGCAACATTTTTTGGGGGAGTGTATTTTGAGCTACAGTAGTGGTGTGTGTGAGTCTGGTGCAATGTAATGCAAATGTCAGTTTTTCTCACAGTATTATACCACAGAGAACAATTCACCCAACAAGTAATGCCAAAATTCTGGTCAGAAGTCCAGGGAAGCTGAATTCTCCTTATCACTTCACGGGATGATTCAAACAACCGGCTTATCAAGTGGTCATCTGAACACCATGATACATAACATACCAAATAGTAATGATTGTCTGTTCACTGAATGAAAGTAAGCAGGCAGTGATGACCATGGGCAGAACCAATCTACGTGACCCCATAGATCCTACCTGTAATTATTTGCCAGTAGTACCTGTATGAAAGCCTTCATTACTGTTTTCTGGTGGAGGAAAAAATGCAAGTCCTTCTTCATTTGTGCTGTTTGTTGGATATTCATTTTCTCTGCTCTGTTCATGTTGCATATCATGCACTGCTGGACGATTAGTGACATCTTCATGTTTGGTTTCATCAATGGAATCCGCAACTGTTATAATGATGGTTTGATGAATTTCTAACATATATCGGCATAGTGCTTTCCAGATCACTATTATTTTACTGAGCTTTATTAATATTCTTTATTTATATCCAATATAAGACTTCAGTGGATATTAACAAGAATTTAGCCTTTAGCTAAGTCATTACTGCATAGTAAGCAGAACACAAAATAAACCTAATTTAGCTGCAGAAATAATAAAACCTCATCTAGCAGTGAAAAGGGGGAAAAAACAGAATTCCTCTTTAGACCTGGCACCTGTTCTGTATATGTTTTCTTATTATGCTCACTTTTTCTTGTGGGACTACTATAAAGAGCAAATGATTTTGAGATATGTCTGCGTGCTACTTGTATTCAACACTCCATAATCCCATTCATGACTGGACCAAGATGTCACATTACAGACCACTGATGTCTGATGTCACATTACAGACCACAGTCGACAGAGACCACTGCTGTTGTAAGGATGGTGGAAACAAGTATAAATGTTATGCTTTCATGTCCCCTTTTCATTGGCTAAAATCCATTTTATCCAACCATAACATGGCCACATTCCATGTCTCGTGAAAGTCAATGTTTTTAGCCACTGATTTCAATATATTTAGCATTGCAACCTATTATCTATAGTACTAGAGTAGTTTAATTGATGTAGACCAAAAGCAAAGAAAAAGATAATGTTCAAAGATGTACATTGTCCTTTCCCAGCTATGTAAGGTTTCCTTTTCATGTACATGTTCAGCTGGGAGGATGATTCCAGGTACCACGTTATCTGTTGTCTCATTTGCTTGAGGCCTTTCTCCACTGTCCCAGCCAGGATCTGATTCATGGTTTGGTGAATCTTGAATAGAGATTTCATGCTCAGTCCCATCACTGGAGATCACAACTGTTAAATTACAGTTGCATCATTTTTTTACCACCTGAATGATCTTTTCCCAAGTTATTTACTAAACAGCAGGCTCCCTAATCTTGTTTACAGAGTACATGCAGCAGAAGCTTTTGGGTCTCTCCATTTTAACACTATTCCCAGCCCTGCACAACAAACATGAGGTTCTAAACTAGTTTTTAAAGCAGTTTGCAGAGAGAAACACCATGATTTGAGAAACAAGGAAACTTATTCCCTGCAAGTTGGGCCTCCCTTGTAGGACTACTGATACTGGTCATTAACTCCAATCAACTTCAACATGTAATCTAACAAGAAAACAGATTGGTGCTTTTCTCAGATGTAGTACCTGTATGTTCCCTTTTATACTTGTTTTTACTTGAAAACATAGTTTCAGGGAGTACCTCATCCCTAGATGTGTTCCTCGGATACCTGTTTTCACTACCCCATCATCAAAACACTCCATTTATTTGTGAGTTGTATTTATAGTCTTCCAATTCACCGTCATCCCTGAAGACCATAGATGTTACACTGAAGGCTGGATCATTCTTAAAGGCTATGGATGCAGAGCCACTGCAAACTATACTTCTGTGTAGGTTACAACACTATCAGTGAAGTTAGGATAGCCTTCCTAATGAGTATGAGATGCCTACAGATAATTAACTCAAGGAAGCAGAAATTTATTTGAATCCCATTTTCGGACAGGTACTTGTATGGAGTGTTTTCCTTCCATGCTTGGTTTTACTTGGAGGAATAATCCCAAGTGCCATACCATCAGTTGTATTAATATTTATCTTCACTGTTGTATCCAGGGTGTCTGCTGGATGCTAATGGATCTTCTGTGAAATCTTCCTGCCTGCCATTATCACTGAAGGCAACAGCTGTTGCAATGAAGGTTTGATATTTGTATATGTTATACTTGCATAGTATATTACCTCAGCTTTTAACTAAGTACTATATGTTGTTGAATTAAATGAATATATCAGGATTGTAACTCTAACAGCCATTTAATTTGATGAGAGACTACTTGTGATTGACAGACTAAGTACTCATCTAATACCAAACTGGAATTTCTTTATGTTGGATAAATGTTTTCAGGATTGCTTTGATTTTGGAAGAATTATTCCCAGGAGCAGATCCTCTGTAGCTATAATTGTAAGATCCACTTTGATAATCATTATAATTACCAAGGCTGGTAATGAAGTATTGGGAATGAATGCCAGGACACACCACATGGGAAGATTATGAGTAGGTGTTCCGGGCTAGTGCCATCCTGGAAACCCCAACTATTACAGACATACTTAAGATTTATTTAAAATACTATGTTTGGATGGTCAATCTCTGATATTATTTAGGGTGTATAAATGGGAATTTTTGTATAATATTTTATTACTTGATAAAGGCTAATATACCACTCTTTTCATCAAGTGATCTTCAATATGATTTACAACAGATTAAAACTATACAATGTACATACAATATGGCTTTTCATGTTCTAATGAAAGGCAGTGGTAGTTCAGCACACTGATCTCTGTGGAATTGCTATAGGAACCTACCTCAAATGTACCAGAAAACAAAACAACTATCTAAATTCTTACAAGCTGATACCTGTATGTGTTGGTTCATTTTCAGGTTCACTTTCAACTGAAGGAATACGTTCAGGCAACGAATGATCTCTGGATGTGTTTGTGGGATATTTATCTTCACTATCCCAGTCTGAATGTTTCCTATGCAATATCGTATTATGAGCAGAGTATTCAGAATAAGTGTCGCCACTGGAAAGTACAGCTGTTATGGAGATATCTGGGTCAATTTTAAATGCTGTTTTCATAGCCACTTCCTGTGTAATTTGCTAAATGTTATTTTATTTAGCATGAGAAGTAGAAGTCAACGTATCAGCTATGAACTTTAATGGAGACAGGGCTGAATGCTATGTGGGATATGACAGTATTCTGTATAATCTACAGCAAGGTCCCCCAATATAGTGCCTGTGGGCGCCATGGTGCCCATGTCACCGTTCCTTGAACCCACCGAATTTTTTTTAGAATGTGGGTGGGGTTGGGTGGAGCACCTGCCCAGCAGGACTTCTGACTGGCACCTGGAGATATGATTGGCTGGGTAGATTAAAATAATGTTTCAGTGGCAGCTGCCATCACAATTTTTGTTTTATTCTCTCTCTCCTATTTCCCAGTGTATTTTTTAAAAATACTCTTGTTGTCCCCTGAATTTGGGCTTTCTCTGTATACCGGGCTCCCTTGCTCTGGTAGCCATTTTGTGGTTGGGCCCACTACCCTGTGTCAGAATTCCAAAGATGCTTGCAGGTTCAAAAAGGCTGGGGACCCCTGATCTACAGAGATAACATCCAACATGCATAATCCTTTTTCCTGTTCTTTTTCAGCCTGAGGAATGATTTCTGGTAGTAAATACCCTCCAGAATTATTTGCTTGATGTTGTTTGCCACTGACCCAGCCAGCATGTTTACCATCCATCAGTGGATCATGAGTAGAATCTTCATAGTGAGTGCCACCACGGGAAATCACAGCTATTATAATGATTTTGTTTGCTATGTTAACATGATTATCTTTTACTGTATTTCTCTGCATGCATCTAGGTCTTATCTAGGAAATCACTGATCACCACAAATCAACCCTTAAGAGATCATGCAATTGACTAGCATGGTTAAACCTCAGACACCGTACTCATTTTACCTAGCTTTATTATATTTTCTAGATCAAATTTATATGGAAATCAGTAGGATTTTAGGCAATTCACTTTAACCACTTTACTCACTTCTGTGAAAAAATGATTAAATCTTACATGGGTTGCGATGCTAAACTAATTATTTTGGAAGAGTACTTAGTATTTTGGAAGAGAACTACTTAGCAAAGAGAACTATGACTTTTTACATTTTTTCATATTAATTTTCAGGCTGAAGAACCATTTAGGCAGAAAATCATCTCTAGGTGAGTTGTGGGATATTTGCTTTCACTGCCCCAGACTGGATAAACTCCATAGATTATGACAGGAACGGCTGTCAGTGGGACCATCAGCAACATCAACACCCGTTATAATGATGGTTGAATGTGTTTTAAAGATTACATTTACACAGGCTTCCCCCCCTGTAATTCTCCAAGTCCCATTTTGTTTTGTTTTATAGGTACTATCTAACTTTCAATTGAAATCAAGGACATCTTAACTATTCTATTAAAGAAGGGAGGACTGCACATTAAATGCATTGTGAAAGGAATATAATCCAAGTCGGTTATTAACAAAGAAAGGATGAAAGACGTGGACCTCTCCCCGTACCTGTGTGCTCTGTCTCCAAATTCTTTTCATTCTTGCTTTTACTTGGAGAAATAACAGTAGGCATGACATCTCTAGATACGTGTTTGGGATATACATTTTCACTGTCCTGGCCAAGATGCTCATGATCACTGTATTCATGGCTAGTGCCATCAGTAGAGACTACAACTGTTACAATGATGACTACATCAGTTCTTAACTGCATACTTTCCTAAACCACATTTCCATGTTAGTGTCAACTCTTTCTTTAGGCCATATCAGTATGCATATCAGGCTGCAATCCCAATTTAGTATAATCTGGATTGCACTTCTTATAAGGGTCGGCCACAACCAGGGCTAGAGCCTTCTCAGTGGTGACACTGCTTTGGTGGAATGAGCTCCCGGAGGACATCAGGGCCCTGTGGGATTTATCACAATTCTTCAGGACCTGCAATATGGAGCTCTTCTGCCAAATGTTTGAGTGAAACACCACACCAAACTGTTCAATATCAACCATGTAGGCTATGTCCTATAACCCATGTAGGCTATGTCCTATAACCCACTTGGGCTGCCTGTTTTAACATCTGTGCCCATATTGAGAAACAATGCGCCTAGGAGCCAGACACCAGCTGTACAACTATTGCTGATCCCATTGCGGCCGACTAGGACAGTCCTTGTCTTCATACATATATAGCACCTTTGAAATTTGTTTTTATGATAATCTGTTTTATTGTTTTAATGTATTTATAATGCCAATGGCCTTGTAAACTGCCCTGAACATAAATGTATTGGGGGAGATGGGGTGAACAGATACCTGTATAAACTGATGTATTTTTATGTTCATTCTCACTTGGAGGAATAATTTCAGGTAGAGTTTCTTCACTAGATGTGTTTGTAGAATATTGTTCTTCACTGTCCCATTCAGAATCAGGATGCATTTCGTGTGCTGGCGGATTCTGAGTAGATTCTTCATGTTTCATCACATCATTAGACACCTCATCTGCTTTAATGATGAAGTATTTTGATAACTTGCTATATGCAGGGCCACTGTCATTAACATTTTTTGGACTCTCCCCACTATACATGTAGTATACTATTAGCACTCAAGGAGATGAGCAGAAAGGATCCCTTTTAGACTTCTTTATGACAGTACTTATCAACCACTACTTTATGTATAAATGTTTTTTACAAAAAGAAAAAAAACTAGTGGCATGTTGAAGACTAAAAAGATTTTCTTCCAGAATACGTTTGTGTGAACTAGGGCCCACTTGGTCAGATACATGTAGTGGGTCCTCCCTAGGATCCTAGTTAGTTTTTTTAAAGTGTCACTAATCTATAAATTTTTGTCACAACAGACTAACACAACTATCTTTAGATTTGTTTTCATAAAAGGCATTTTTAAACAAAGGACAATTAAATAACAACTTGACTACTGATGACAGACTTTGGGTAACTCTCAGGCTTCTGTAGGAAACCATCCACCCAATTAAAACTGAAGAGAAAAAACAAGAATGTATTTAACTGGTATGGTAGCTGCTTTTCAACACTGATATTAATCATATGGACTAAGTGCAAAGTTTGGTGCAAATTATAATATGGAAGTGAGAAAGAAGAGATGTGGTTGACACCAGAAGGGGCAAGTAAAAACAGAAGAATGGAGGGATTAAATGAAAAATTTCTGTCACTATAATGATAGGTATATAGTGAATATAAAACAACAATTCTGTACTAAGATTCAGGAAAAAATAGTAAGAAAATCTCAATAATGGCACAAACAATAGATATTTATGTCTGGCTAGAAATACTTTCCAAATAAAACAAAGATGTTTATAGTTATTACTAATGAAGAAGGCAAATGAAAGGAATATGCCTCCTGTTAATGTAAGATTACTCACACTATTTTCCTACAGAATAATTGTTTGTATTATTATTGATAATAATTATTAATAACAATCCCATATGATTATATATCAAAAATGCTAATATTTAGAAACAATTCTGATATGCAACACCTCTTTTGCACTAAACCACATCCATAAAGAATAAACAAATAATATTTCAAAGGACTGAACCACTAGCCATAAAGCCAGAAGCAGGTGAAAAGATTTGAACATAAATATTGATTAGATGATCCCAGTGCTTAGTAAATCCTGTCAGAATTACAAAAAGATGTTTAGCAGCAGAAAACGATTATGCTCTAAGAGTGTGCAGAACGTCATCATTAATGTTATTTATTGGATGCATATTATCATTGCCTCAACTGGAGTGATCAACAAGAGAATGGGAATCTGTGAATGTATCCTCATGTTTAGATCCAGCATGAGAAGTCAGAGCTGTTATGATAATGGTCATTTTGATACAGAAAGAATTCACCTTGTCAGTTTTGTTTAACACTAGGCCTTGATATATACTACAGTTTGGAGACTAGTACAAAGAGTATTAGTTTGATTGTTTTTTTGTTAAGCTCATGATATAGAAAGAAAAAACACTCAAATGTGAACTAAATACTTCATAGCTTTATAATGAACAATTGTGACTATATTCTGATACTAATTCTTGCTATGTTCTTTCACTGACATCAAAATTGTTACCTGTTACCTATTTAAGTAGCATATCTACAAATTTTGAAAACACATTTTACTCTGGTTATGTGGTAGCTAGTAATACTCATTGATATGTTACAAACCAGTCTCTCCTTTCTCCCTTAGGAGATAAACATGCACCAGTACAAAGATCTTCTCCCCAAAATGATTGGTCAAAATAACTTGGCAAATTTTGATTAACTCATTGTATGTATTCATTGTGCCGTGTTCTGAATTATGTATTTTGCTGGGAGTTGACAGGGAGAGTTTCTTATAATTTATGACATTAGCTTATAATGCTGTATGCCTGGGAAGCCATACATGTTATTATTTGTATTAGTACCTGTATCTGATGATTCCTGCTCATGTTCATTTTGACTTGATCTGCCATCACTGCCCAAAGGAAGTTGATCTTGGTTTGAGTCTTCATTTTAGTCACCATCATAGAAGACCATGCACATAATAATATACTAATTAATTGGGCATCTTAATGTTTATAGATCAACTCCTAGAACTTTTTCCTTATGAAGACTATTCTTTGATCATCAGATCTTGAACTTTCACATTTCTGCTACTATGTGTTAGATAAACCCTTTAAAAACATTAAATTATTCAAAATTATGAAACGTTAAAGCAAATTTTAACTGCTATAGAGTAATATTTCACACTTCTGTTATTTGCAGACAACTAGGTTCTAAGCATCACTTGCAAATGAGATTTTTTATTATCTCACATTCACATGGTGTTTTGCCACAAAGCCTCTGTGAAAACAGTTCGTTCCATAAATATTGTGACGAGAACAACAAGCAGAATGCAAATTAATAAACAGTTATAGGCTGTGGTGCAGAGTATTTATACTTGCAGAAATAACATCATGATTTAAAAGTTGTTGAATCAACATTTCTTAGACTTAGGGAGAGGCACAATGTAATTTCCTATACTGCTGCTATAATTTATTGTGACATTAACTAGCTTCAAGCCAAGAATGTGTATTAAGATCTGAATAAGAAAAAAGGTTAAGATGGAATAAAATTATAAAGAACACATATACAAACTTCTTGTATGTGCACCAATGACTTATTTGGCTGAATGAAATCACGTATTTTAAATGCAACAGAATAAAGACCTAGTACATTTAAACTGATTGGGCCGGGGCACAGCACACAGTATGACTCATAGTAGGAAGGGGACAAAGCACACAAGGCGATCAGGCAGCTTGAAGCTGCTTGAGAGATCTATGCTGGCCCTACAAAGAGTAATTTTGCTACTAATGAGCTCTATAACTAACACTACTCCTGCTACAGCAAAAGCATGTTTCTATTTAGATGACCAGACCCCTTCTTCATATTATTAAAAGGGTTGGCTGTGGCTCATATTATCTTATGAACTCAAGCTGATCGGATGACCCTAACGTTTAAATTTCAGAGGTATTTCACAAGATATTAAAAGAAATTAGAGGCCACAGTTCATTAAAAAAATTGGTTTCAAGTCCTCATTACCAACACAGAGAAAGAGAATTTGCTTTTCCAATGAAACATAGTAAGATTACATGAGTTACTGAGTCCTACTAGAAGTACCTGTTTGAGCAGATTTGTTTTCACGGTCACTCTCACTTGGAGGAATAAGTATTTGTACCACATCATGGCTTGTTCTATTTGTGGAAGAGCTTCCTCCTCTCCTCCCTCCAGGTTTATCAACTGATAATAACTGATCTTGATGTGATTCTTCATCTTTGGCACTTCCATTGACGAACACTGCTGTTGAACCATGGCAAATAAAGCTCAAATAAATACCTTCATCCTGGATTTTCAGATGTCCAGGAGATAATGGCTCTTATCCAGAAATCTTTGGGTTCTGTTATGTGTTTACAGAGGTACCATGCATACAAAATTCCCCATTTACTTCAACTGGGAGGAGCTCTAAGCATGCAATCCTTTGCAAGCATAGAGCTGCTGCCTCTAATGAACTGAGTTGGGGTAGAATCAAAGAGGTCCTTGTGCACAATGAAGTTTCACCATAAACAAGAAGCTGCTGTTTTAAGGAGACTGTGCCATTCTACATAGTTTGAACATTGTTGGCATTATTTTAATCACTTATCTGACCTACAAAATATATACATTTATATCTGAGATTATGGCTATACAGAACAGAACGATCATCTCATAAACAAATTAAGCAAATTCTGAATGGTTAGGCCTTAACATATCTGACATCCCTTGCAGTTAAGTATCCTGCAATTTGGATCCAGCAAGATTTAGAGTCCTTGTTGGGATATAATAATCATGAATTACTTTTGAAAACTGAAGAAGAATTGAGCTATTGGCAAATACTGTCTTTATCATGAATTGGCAGAATTATTAGTATCTGTTTTACCAAAATTATTATTTGATTTATTAATAGACCACTTCAAGGGACTGTACATATCTATGTATCTTGGGGAAAATCAATTAGGAACTTTATATGGTTGGAGAAATTTAATTAGGAATTTCATATGGTTGGACAAGCCTTCTACGGTTGCTTTGAATACACTTAGTCAAGGATTCAGGAATCCAAAGTTAAAACTGTATTATACTGCTAAAAGATTGGTGAATATGAAATAATGGTATTTCCCAGATAAATATGTGTTCATTTTAGAGCCCTTCATTCCTAGACATTTTCTATTAAAAGATCTACTTTGGTTAAAGAAGAACATCAGAACTGAGTAATCCCATTTTAAAAGCAATATATTTCTAATGGTATAAAGTTAAATATTACTTAAACCCTGATCTTTTACAATAACCTCTGAATTAGCTAATGAACAATCACAGCAATATCAAAATCTTTGTGTATTTAGGATTCCAAAATAGAAGAATTTGGATGTAATGGAAAATCTGGAAAAGGATAACTAGGTGTTATGAGTAAAGGGTTTTAAAACTGGAAGACAGATCACCACTATTCCAGTTTTTTTCAGATCAGGCACTTGGCAAACATGCTACTGAGGAATAGTAGAGATTTTAAGAACAAACACATCCTTTGAGCTTATAATTAGCACTGATCACCTAACTGGTGGTTTACTCACTAAAATTAACTTTTGTTACTAATTCTAGAAAGCCAAGCACTGTTTGTCAAGCTATTCCAAAACTTTTGGTATATCCATGTTTGACTCACAAAAGAAAAGGGTATAAATCACACTGATACTGTCATTTTTGTTGCATGTTAAACTGATAGGAAACAGGAATATTCCTATGAACAAAAATTATAGCTCAGGAAGCATTCGTGAATATAGCAGCTCTGTAACACAAAAAGCATAACCTACTACTCATGTTGTGGTGAAATTATTTTAAAATGTAATGTACAAATTACTGACTGCAAAAAAAATTAAACTATAGCTGAGCTGAAACCTTTTTTTAAAAAACCTCCCAACCGAGGGGGGGGATGAGGGCCTTGGTGAAATACACCCCCCTCTCTCACTTTTCTTGTGGTGGCATGGTCATATGGGATAGAAAAGGTAGAGAAAGAAGTACTTTTATCCCTTTTTCACAATACAAAAACTTTTGGGCACTCAATGAAATTAATGAGCAGTAGGCTAAGAACAGATAAAAGTACTTCTTCACTCAAAGAGTAATTAACACGTAGAATTCACTGCCTCAGGAAGTGGTGGTAGCTACAAGTATAGACAGTTTCAAAAGGGGGTTGGATAAACATCTGGAGCAGAGGTCCATCAGTGGCTATAAGCCACAATGTACAGATGAAACACTGTCTGGGGCAGTGATGCTTCCAACAGTGGTAGGGCTTCTGGAGTTCTGGCCTTGCTGGTGAACCTCCCAATGGCATCTGGGTTTTGGCCACTGTGTGACAGAGAGTATGAGACTGGATGGGCCACTGGGTTGATCCAGCATGGCTTCTCTTATGTTCTTATGTCATGGCTGTGAAGGAAATCATGCTCCTCTATGCTGGGCACCAATCTTTTTATTATCCTGTTTTTACTTGAGTGATAAGGCTTCAGACATTATTATCTAGCCAAATCTCATTGTGTGTATAGCTCCCAAGAAGTCTCATCAGAGTAAAGGAGAAAAACCAGGGCTATTTTTGGGCAGGAACGCACAGGAACGGAGTTCCAGCTGGCTTCAGAGTTGGCCATGCCCACTACAGCCAAAACCTCTGCATGCGTGGCTATAGAGGGAAAGCCTGGAGAGCGACCCTCCCAGTGACTCCGAGGTGGGTGGGCCAGGGGGGCTCTGGAAGGATTGGGGAGGCATTTAAATGCCTCCCTATGCCTACCCTGGCCTGTCCAAGGGCCGGCTTGCCTGGGCTCTCCGCAGCCATGGGGCGCCTGGGCAAGCCAAGGGAAGGAATGGGGTGTGGCCTAATATGCTAATGAGCTGCACTTTCAGGGTGGTGACCTATTATGCTAATGAGTTCCTGCTGTTGGGTGAGGCGTATTATGCTAATGAGTTCTTGCTGGGCTTTTTCTACAAAAAAAAGCCCTGAGAAAAACAATGCTTCCTGTCTCCATCCATCCTCCCAGGACAAAAGTAATATCAATAGCACCTGGCAGTAGGAAAAAATATGATTGCTGCTTGGCCAATGACTATGTAAACAGGTGGCAGTTGGAAAGACCATTTTGCCACCACTTTTGTCTCCCGCCCTCCAACTGCTTGTAAACAAAGTGGTGAAGCTGGGAAGTGTGTGTGTGTCAGCTTAACACTATTTTACAATAATAGTTACAAACAGAACAAAAGCAACTCTCACAGTTTACTCTGAATTTATACCTTCCGCACAAGTAAGACTCACTGAAGGAAAGAAAACTTAAGTTAACAGGTGCTCTAGGACAATCTGAATCAGAATATGAAAGTAGACAATTAAAATTGATATTTACTTCTAATCATGACGTGATAATCCATTATTTATAATGATACCTGCATGAAAATCTTCTTCCAGATCGTTTTGTTTTTCATCTGAAGGAACAAGTCCTAGATGCGAATCATCTGAGGTCGTGTTTGTAGGAAATGAGGCTTCAGCTTCCAATCCAGAATGAACACCATCTTGTGAATGCAGAGTTGATACTTTCTGTGTGAGGAAATTACCACTGGACGACACAGCTGTTACAATGATGTTTTTAATCAGTTCCAGTATTTTGCCTGTAGAGCAATCAACTTAATTGTTCTCTTTATCTTGTAAAAAGTATACATGGGTTGCTTTTTCATTTATGCTCATAGGAAAAGGAGAATGTGCGTAGATAATATTTTGGAAAGCATTATTGGATTCCACAATGTCTCATTATCATTTCAGTTTCCAGAAGTTGCTGATTTTCCCAACAGTGCCCAGAGATCAGTAGCAACACATGAAGTGAATGTAAAGGTAACATAGTCAGAAACCAAGGGTCAACAGCTTACACCCCTAATTCACCTGTCAAAGTATCTGATAGATGTCAAGGCTGTGTACAATTTGGATTTACGCATCTTAAAAGTCCATAAATATTCTCTTGTTTATCTTCCCTTTCTTCTTTTACTTTGACACTGTACTTCATGGCTTCATGGCTTTGTTTCAGGCACTAGGCCACAAATTTTGGATAGATAATCCAGAATTCCTCCTTCAGCTCACACTTATTTTGGTTGGCGTTTTGTGTTACAGTTGGGGTGGAGCCATTTCAACAGGTGTAGCCTTATTTGGCTTTAAAGGTGTTGCTGTTTACCAAAGAAATTAAGAAAGAAAGATCTTGAGGTACCACCACCTTAGCACCAGATATATCCTTCAGAGTCAACTCTTTTCCCAACATTCAGCAGAGAACATAATGTGTGAAACATTATGATGATTGTCAAAGAAGTTCCAGAGAACATGCCTTAGATAAATACTGTAACCGGCACCCAACATAAAACACCAAGAACACAAGGAAAGTAAGGTAGTTCTCCATCCATGAAAGAAAATGCCGAAAAGCCACCATGTGTAAAGAAAGCAGAAAATGTCATGGAAATTATTATGAGGAAGTAGAATTTATTAATCTGTCATATTCTAATCTTAACTTTAATCTTAATGCTAAACTAATGCCCTAATGTTCAATAAATCTATGCACTGATGCTTTCATATAGTAATTTGATTTTTTTTTAAATGTGGAAAGGTATCACAAATTGACATTGCACAAACTCTCTGCCTCCTAAATATGGATGTAGTACCAATTTACATGCGACTGAAAGCATTTGTTTCATGTAAAACACTGAATGGTAATTTAATTGGCTCCAAGAAATAACTCATCCTTTTTTTCCAGAGTGACTTCCAAGTGTGTATCCAGCACATACATTTCATGTCACATTTAAAACTAGCCAGAGTGACTGTGAGTTTAGCAAGGAGGTTAAATCTTGTGATCTTGTGACATATGAAAGCACTTTTAAAATATGGTTGGGCACAGATGACATGGTAGTTTGGAACTTCTGCAACCTACAACAGTGTTCTGTGACCAAAATCAATTCAGGCTGGTACTTTATGATTCACTCTTGCTTAGTCAAAACCAAAATACTTGAGCTTTTGGTTTCATGGTTTTGGTAAATGAAGCAGAATGCATCTGGAATTAATGCCTTCAAATGTGCATTTTAGCATCCACTCCTTTTTTAAAAAAATAAACTATATTAATTGCAGATGTAGTAGCAATAAGAACTAGACAGTGCTTCCAATGCTTAAGTTTTATAATTCAATACTTTAAAAAACATACTCTATTTTATTCTTTTCTGAAGCAGGCAGTACTTTCAAGATCATGCTTATATGCTTATACTGGTACCTGTAGAATAATGTTCACCATCACCTGGAGGAACAGTTCCAGGTAGCGTACCATCCCTTGTGTCATTTGCTGAGTATCTGACTTCATTGTCCCATCCAGAGTGTACAACATGTATCAATGAGTCACGGGTTGAGTCTTCATGTTTGACATCACTGCTGGAGACCACAGCTGTTGTAACAATGATTGGATTTATATTGACGAATAACTGACATTGCTCATCAATCTATTTCAAGAATTTATCAGAAAGAGGAGAGAAACCCTGTATATTCTGCTGATATTTTAATGGGCAGTTCGCATATACATGTTCATTGCAAGTGAATTCCTGAGCAGAGTTTGAGTTGCACTGATATAGAAGAATTATAGTGACATTTATTATTTGTAGAACAATATCACTAACTTTCAATCCGCTGATACCATGCTTTCCCAATAGTAGCAGGTATAGTAAGAACTACTGGAGCACAAACAGTGCCAAATGAGTACAAGTATCCTGACCAATACCAGTGAATTGTGTTTTAATCTTCATGAGAGAAAATCAAACAAATAATCATGAAGAAAACCTAACAATTTCATCAACAGTCAGTATAACTTAGTGTCTCTTGTTAAATCAAAAGAACAGCTTACGCTGCCACCACAAAACATACATTAACCACCATCCCTTTGAGGTTGGAACATAATTTGAGTCTGACCTCAAACTACATCATGCTAATACATACTTGACATGATTAACTGAAGGATGTTAAACAGTTTCTATTCCTAGCCTCAATACTGTTCTATGTACTATCAAGCCATAGACACTGTATGTTCAGTATGTTTCTAGCAGAGGTAAAATATGACCTGAAATACCTGCATCTCATGCAAAAGAAGCCAAAGTAGAACAAAAAATACCTATCAAGTACATGGAAATTTCACAATAGACATTCCCAATGAAAATGCCTAACACAGTATCGTCTTCTGTGCATGGAACAGGGGTCACTGGGGGTGTGGGGAAGGTATTTGTAAATTTCCTGCATTGTGCAGAGGACTGGACTAGATGACCCTGGTGGTCCCTTCCAAATCTATGATTCTACATATTGATTTAGAATTAATCAGACAGCTACCACCAAGAAGTCTAAATGTCTCATGAACAGAGCAAGTTTTTCCTCTTTAAAAATACATATAATGAGGTGAGGTAATGCCTTTCACAGTTACTTTGCTATTTCTGATGTCACTGTGAAGTTTTTATTTTGGTCTTCTTATTCACGCAGTATTTTTTATAAGATATAATAATTAACACTTAAATGTTTTGCCCGAAGTTGGTTCAGAGGGCTGTTGCACCTCCTTGTAACCAATACTGGGCCACTGCCTGGAGTAAATCCAATGATCTTGGGTAGAGGTTTCCTCATGCGAACCATCATGAGGGCTGGCAGCTGTTCAGACAATGGCTCAATGAGCTGAGATCATTTTATTTGTTGAACTAACATTTCCTAACTAAACTACTGTCCGTCAACAACTTCCTACATAAACCAGCTGGTATGTCAACAGTATGAGGAAAGGAGAAAGAGCTTTAACATCCATGAGTTTCGCTCTTAATTCAAGAAAGTAGGGTTGGTTCCAAGAGCACTTCTTGGCAACAACTTCTCACAGGAATCTGATCTGTTGTTTTGGAAACAATGGGAAATTTACCAAAATCTATAGAGGAACTTTTAAAAATCTAAATGCAAAAGATAGCTTAGTGCATGGAAAAGGAGCATGCTCTGACATGAACAACATAAAGCCAAAAACAATGTAAGAATGCCAAATAAACTGTAATAAGAGGTAAAGTTAGCAATTTTGGAGGTTTTTTCCCTTTGCTTAAATTCTGGTACCCTTATTGGTCCCTACAATCTTTTTTGTACTTAGATGTGAACACCCAAGAGATACATCAAATGTGAATAATTTCATTTTAGGGCTGCAATTGGGTTCATGTGCACTTGTGTTTTAAGGAGCAACGGTGCCTACAATGCCTCCATGATGCTATTCACAGTTGGTATACCTCGCACGTATTTGGATCTTGAGGATTTACAGTGAAGTACATAAAATTTATAGCAACTGCTTTTATCTTGCAGATTAGTATTCTGTCCATCATACCATCAAAAGAAAGAGAAAACTATGCCAACATTACACACTACTTAAGAGACAAAAGATAAAATAGAGAATAGATGTATTGTTTTGTCACTGAAGAAAGACTAGAAATACTGCCAAAACTCTTGTCCATCTTTAGAAAGTTTTTTTAATATCCTAGGCATGAAATTAGTTTTAAATCCCTGCGAAGCTTATAAATTCATGCCATCCTGCACCTGTTTTTTATGTTATATAAAAAATACTTATTACTTCTTGAAAAATGGCAGCTAATCAGCTCAGTAAATGTACATATAATGTTGCAACCAATCATCAACCAAAATAAAAACTTCACAGAAAAAGCAGCTAGTCAGCTCAGCAGCAATTATACATCTAGCCTTGAAGTCCGACAATCTCGCCTCTGCTGTGCACCTCTGCAGCTAGAGACCCAGCAAATTTGGCAACTCTGCAGCTAGAGACCTGGCAAACTTGGCAACAGGAAAAGGCGCCCAAAGTTCCTCATTTCATCTGTAGCCTTTATCACAAGCCAAAACACTTCTTCAGATAACAGGAGAAAAAGTTACAAAGTTGGCACAAAACGTCTTGTAAATTTTAAAGCATTTATCACGCCATTAATATTTAACAATTGGACAGCAATCCTTCAAAGTTTAGTTACTGGCAACTGAACCTGTTTTGCTTGTCATTATGAAAATTATTTCTCCAGTAGTGGAAATTCTGTTTTTGAAGGCATTTTTTACCTTCTAATAGATTGCTAAGGAGCCCGCTTGTTTTCTGAAGAGAGATGCAAGGTGAGAATCTGTAAAAAAAAAAATTATCTGTTTCCTTACTAGTTGTTGAAACATATTGTTCCTTGATTTCATTTGTGTCCCACCCAAGAAGGGTTGCTAATTTGAGAATTTCTGATGTAGAGACTTCTGCACGTCTTGTAAGATCAAATCCGTTGTGACCGTGTTAAGTTTCCCATAGAAACTTTCTACCACCTCCCACAACATTTTCATTTATTTCTTAGGCTTACAATCACTTTTAATGATAGTGATCTGGGTAGACTGTTTAGACTTGTAGACTTATAAACAGATATAATCCCCTTAAATATCTTTGTAAGGAAGAGACCAGCTTGTATGTAAAACAGCAACTCTGAAGAACTGAATGAGGACAGGAGGGGGAGGATTGACCTTGCCAGTCATTGCAGGAACTGCCCGGTTCTTAGCTTCCCAAGTGCTGCACAGCTGAGATATCTTAATTAAACAGCTAGACTGGCTAGAGGGAAGGGTAGCATCTTAACAGATCCTTCTGAGGATAAAAGCCAAAAAGGTGGGGCAGAAAGGAAGCACGTGTCTTTTGGGCAGGATATTTCCTATCTTTTGGAGTTTGAGTAAGTTTCAGCTGATTTTAATGACTATTTGTATTTTGGCAACCATTGAAGGACATTAAATTTTCCTTTGTTCATCTAATTATTGTTAATCAAGGTTCCCTTGCCTTTTCTTTGATAATAAAAGTACTTTTGCCTGATTTACTAAACTGGGGTGTAGAGCTTGAAGTCAAGTATCCTAACAGAGAACCCAAAGCCTGCTTCATACCATCTTACTAACCATGCTATCATTTGCCAAAAAGCCTGATGATACAACTGTGTCAAAAGGTTTGTTTGTCAGAAGGTTGATGACTAGGGTTGCCAGCTCTGAGTTGGGAAATACCTGGAGATTTGGGGGAGTACAGCCTAGAGAGGTCGGGGTTTGGGGAGGTGAGGGACAGCAGCGGGCTACAATGCTACAGAGAGTCCATCCTCCAAAGCAGCCATTTTCTCCAGGGGAACTGATCTCTGTTGTCTTCAATTGTAAGAGCAGGAGATCTCCAGGCCCCACCTGAAGGCTGGCAACCCTACTGATGACTTTTGCCAACAGAACATCTCTCTTTATTATGGTCCTATACAAAGGATGATCTTTTCTTGACAAAGATATATGTGTAAGGATAACCAACAATTTGTCCATTCAAGACATTTTTGCCCATTTTCTGTCCCTTTCGCTGCTCATAAAGCACTGCAAGCAATGTTCCCTTCTAAATTCCCCCACCCCAAGCGGAGCAGATCACTTCCTGAGCAGAATCTAACTGCTGTAATCTTAAAATGGGAAATGGGCAGTGGAAGGCCATATGTAGCTCAAGACTGTTGCTCAGAGGGGCTTCCTGTGTTAATGAGCAGCTGCTCACATGCACATCTTAGAAGGAACACGGACAGTAAGGGAACTATTTTGTTGGCAGCTATTTTTTTCCTGATTAGAGTCTGGATTTGCTTTAGTAAGACTGTTATGGCTGGTAGAGCCTAGAATTCTTAAAGAGGGAGAATTAAATAAAAACCTTGAGTCTGTATGGTAGTTTGCAAATATCACTGTTTTCTAGTTCCAAAAGAAACCAAATTTTTAATGGAAGAATACTAAAAGGAATTAAAGACTAAAGGATGCCTTCAGAAACTATCCACTGATTTCAGTTTTTGTTCAGCAGTAGCTACGTGACAGGAAATTATCAGAACACTACTGAACCAAACCACGGAGGAATAAAATTATCTGAGTAATGAAGAAAGATAAAAACAACACCATTCTGGATTCAACAATGCCTGGGAATTGCAGTAATGAATGTTTGACAAGATAATGATTTCATGTCAACAAGCTTTTGTGACAGTTCTCAGATATATATAGCTATGAAGATTTAACTGCAGGCTAAAGAAGGAGAGCCACAGAACTAAAAGGGGAAGAGCTATGACTAAAAACCTATTATTGAAATAAATGACAGAGCAAATGCGAGGAAGCATATGCAAGGCAAGTCACTGTATAAAAAGGTAAAGGTAAAGGTTCCCTTGCTTGAAAGTCAGTCGAGTCCGTTTCAAAGCCGAAGAGCCAGCACTGTCCGAAGACGTTTCTGTGGTCATGTGGCCGGCATGACTAAACACCAAGGCGCATGGAACGCTGTTACCTTCCCACCAAAGTGGTACCTATTTATGTACTTGCAATTTCTTGCTTTCGAACTGCTAGAAGTAAAGAATTGTATAGAAGTGGTTTTTTTCTCTTTTTCCTTGGGGAAATCATTAAGAAATGCTTACTGAAACTGCATTCTATAGTAAAGATTTTATTTTAGTTGTGCAGTCAGTTATCTGTTTCACATGCAGCTTTTATAGGCAGGCTCCACGCTGACAATTTTAAAGAAAAGATGGTCAGCCACAGCATAATTTTTAAAAAAGCATTTGGACTGACCACAATCCTTTAATTCCAGTCTCCAATGGAAGCAAATGGAAAGAGAAAATAAAAGTTTGCACCTTATGCAAGTACACCTTTTCCAGAAACCACTATGAGAAGCCAAGCAAGTCAAGGCCTTCTGGCTCAGAGGCATTGTTATACTGGAATAAAGCAATAGAATGGCAGTGAAATAATTCAGCCAAGTTGCCTAACGCCTTCAAGTGCAGTTTACTTGCTGTGCACACACACAGATATCAGAACTCGAGGCTACCAGTACCAACAGAACATGCAGTGTTACTGCAAGTGCTTGAAAAACCTTACTGACAGGGATGTGTTGAAAGCCAACGTGAGCAATATTTTATGTGTGACACTGACAATCAAACACTAGCTTCGTTTCTTGTTAACGGGGCATGAGCACAAGTTCTCTTGTTGCAAATGGTTGGATGACTCAGCCTCAGAAGTGTTTGTCTGAGTCCTGTTTTCCCAGGAGATGTGAGGAAAACTGGCAATAATTTCCTATCTTGATGACAACTGGTCTCTTGGCCCAGATGTTTGACACTGCACTGATTAGAATTCAGGTAAGATTATTATCCTTGCTGGATGTTGTGCTGCCCACTCCCTGATGTTCTTCAGACTGCCACAACAAAAAGGAATCTCCAGGAACTTGTTGAACTTGTGTAGAGTTTTCATGATTAATCCCATATCTTGATACCTCATTATCTGTAAGGATGGCAGAATAACTAACATACTGAATACATGCTGTGCCACCAATGTCAATAAATTATCTTCTGTCACCACTCTCCACTAGTTCAGAGGCAAGGTTCACGCTCAGTGTTCCTGAATGGAATTAGTGGTCTTGTTTTTATTCAATGTAGCCTGAAAATTGAGCTATCCCAGGATGAGAACAAAGAGATGAATCAGCTCCTGCAGCAAAACCAGGAAGGACTCATGAAAGGAATTGTACAATTTAAGTGCAAATAAATATTCAAAGGCTGAACAGGTTTGGGGAACATAAGTAAGTAAACAGCAAATAATCAGAGCCTATTAACTAGAGATATAGCCACTTTCAGGAGTACCTCAGTAAAAAGAATTATGCTTACTAGAACCAGGAGAACCAGGATAAAGTTGTTCCCCGCCATCGTATTTGTCCCCTTCATTTCCAGGTTCTTCTAGTTCTTCGGATGAATCTTTTTGCTTCTCATATGAGTCTAAATCTGTCATGGTTAAAGGATTATTGCTTTTTCCCATAATATTATAAATAAATAGGAATTTGAGATCTTCTGATAAATATATCCCATAATGGGGTGGGTCTTGGTCCTCTCCTTGTGGCAATGCAGAGGAAAAGGTCTAGTGCTATCACTAGTCCTTTTTTCATCCATTCATTTACATCACCAAAAGATGAGGAGATGTAAATCTAATGGAAAGGATCTCAGTGATAACAGGAAAAGAAGCAACAATCCAGAAAGAGGAAATTGTTGAGAAGAGGAACACTTCAATGAGAAGAGGAAGATCTCATGGGGGGGGGGGAATGAAACTGAAACTTTCCATTTTAACAAATGGAATGAAAGGCAGAGGAGTGGGATAAGAAATTCATGCTATAAAAATCCGCAAATATTTTTCTGAAGACTACTTGCCATTTATTCAAAGAAAAGTAATTCTTAGTTGTCAGCTTTGAACTCCCAAAACATGCATAAGGAATTAAATGTATCCTGCACCTAGCCTGAAATGTTAACAACTTCTGTGGATGTTCTCCAATACAATCATATTCATTATGTTCTGATATCAGCCATAAACGGTGAGATAAAGTGCAGGTACATTCATTCCCAGGAAAGCAACCAGCATAGTGAAGTGGCTCATAAAGACCCCTTCCCAGCTTAAGACTTAGCCTTGGAATATAATTAAATCTGGTGGAGAAGTTGGCATGAAAGAAAAATAATGGTACAGAAACTGTACATACAATATACTACGGGGCATATTGGATGCTTGTTTAAAATCTAGGTAATTGGCAAAACAGCAATTGCCAAGACGGAAATATTAAGCATGAGAAGTACCTTATAATATCCAAGTGTTGTACCAACACAAAAGCAACACGAGTGCACCCAAAGCAGAACAAAGCTTAGAGGGAGACTGAGTTAAAAAAATTGATTGTACCACCACATTGGCACTAATCCACAGGATAATGATGACCCTGGATCTAGGTACTGAACAGATTTGGGGAGAAAAGGCCAAGCATGTAGATCAAGTAGCTGCAGTTTGGGTTACCAACTTCAACCTCTTGGGCCTAGAGTGCTCCCCAAATTACAACTGATCTCAAGACTACAGAGATCATTTCCCTGAAGGAAATAGCAGCCCGTGCTGACCTCCTCCCCTCTCAATTCTCCCCTCCACTGAGACAATCTCAAGGAATTTTCTAAGCCAGAATTGGCAACTGCAGCTGTAGTACTTACTATTTAAAATAGCTTTAATGATCCACATAATGTATAAGGAATAATTTGTTGCTTACAGCTAAGGACCACATTCAGAATACAAATTAGATTTTTTAAAAAGTGGTTTTGCCAATTAACCCTCTACAACTGACCATAAGTTTGCCCTTTTAATGGTTGCCATATCTAATTTATGAGTTTGCCAGCCTTCCTCAAAAATTTCATTTGAATATCTAATTTGTGTAGTTCCTATATTTGCAAAAACCGAGCAAACCAAGAATACAAATTGCAGATGCCATGTATCTTTATAATGTTGGGTTTCCAGAATCTCCCTCCCCACAAATCAACAAGTTTTAATGTAGTTAAGCCAATGCTGCATACAATGTTTAGCAATGATACCAATATGAACTGCTGTCTGTTTTCGATCTGCCATACAACTGTAAATAATACACTTTCGATAGACAACAGTTATATTTGCTTTTAGGGATCAGTGTCTCAAAATCTGATGTCAGCATATATGAAGGCAGAAATGTCCATATAAGGAAGAAAAGAGTTTTTGCACATCTGTATATCAAACCATCATTTCACCATCCTTATATATTCCTGGTGCAGCTGATGGCATCTCTCTCTCTCTCTATTATTTCCATGTTAGATACAGACCACATACAGGAATGTGACCACCGTCACATTTTCTGCTTCCAATTACAATTTTTCCTCAACATCACATCACGTAAATAGTTTAGAATGAAATTATATTTTCATGTTTAAGAAAGCAGGGCAAGCTGTCTTAGTCTGCGATACCATTCAAAGAAATGTCCATGCAGGTAACACAAATAGTCTACTCCATTAATACTACTAATGCATCAAGACTTCTAAAAGGAAGTCTAAGAATAATCCTCAAAACAGTTTCTCAAGAAAGGTACAATGTAACCAAACAATGCAAGGGATAAATAGGAACACATTTCCATGATAGAGGAAAATAGCCAAATTTAAATGGCAGGTTTGGCCATTGCATAAAGATGCCTCTAAAAGTAATAATTCATATTAAAATGATTATTAGGAAAAATATAAACATCTCCTTGACAATGGTTCTGAGAACATGCATATATCTATATGCCTCTGTATAATTACACAAACACACATAGTCATATCACAAAATCTCAAACTGAACTGGTGTGGGTGTGTATATATTGTGATGGTGCATATATGTTGTGATGATCTTGATAATTTCCTCAAAATCACACACACAACCATAAAATCATCCTTAAAATCTTTTTATAAAAAATGTTGACAATATACTCTACACTGAGTAAAAAAATGGATCTATAAGCACAGTTGGACTATCTTGCAAGACCTACTAATCAGAGCCAGGTATATAGTATGGTGTTTTTGCTCTTCAGGAATACATTAATACTCATGCATTAATTTTCTAAGGAAAAATATTCCAGAAAAAATTCAGGCAATAGAGTATAAATGATTATCCAAACTTGGATAAGAAACTATTGTCTGCTTAGGGCAGTTTTACTGAGTTAGTCTCAGGCATACACAGACCCTATCACCACCATATATAAAATATCACACAGTGTAAACATCATGCCCATAAGATTCCCCATTTCCTTCTCCTAGGCAGAATTATCATACATAAGGACTAACAGCAGATGATTTGATATGCTGGTGGGATGGGTAAATAATGTACATACACATCACCTAGTGATCATCCCCAGGATTCAATTCTAGTTTAACCATTCCAAAAACACTTGTTTGCATATCTGAACAATTAGAAACAATATCATTTCTGAATGGATGCCAAGAATTTCATCCCAAACATGTTCGACAGTCGAACTTCCTGTGTTCGAAGGTGTCGATTAGATGTGAGCAGCCCAACTGATCTGTTCAGTTTATGCCGAACGACTGCAAACAGCAGTTGAACAGGTTTGCATCAGGTTTTTTGCAAAACTGTGTAAGCACAAAGATGCTGCCAATTCAAACAGATTGGCAGCCATTAACATTGATATGAACTACTTAAACACACACCAAACGGCCATTAAAAAAAAACAACCATAGCACTTATTCAAAATTTTCATCTTAATGCACTCTTAACAATCAGATGCTACTTTCCTTGCATTTTTTTGCTGCCTCAACGGCCATTACCCCAACCTCCAAAAAAACCTCCAAAAAAAGTAAGACTTCAGCCCTTTTTATTGAAGGGTCCATCTTTTCCCGTGTATCTCTACAGTGAAAATGGCTAGAGACTTACTTTTTTAAAACAGTGAAAGCTTGGAACTCAGTGGAACTAGTCGAACATACAATAGATTGTCAAAATGATAGTTTGCACATTTGCTATAACCATTACTGATCTTTTAAAAAGCAGTCACACAGAAACGAAGGTGGGAATAAAACTCTATGGGGATGCATGTGTGAAAAGCTGATTGCACTATTATACATTGTTATGAAGGAATACAGCAAAATTTGAGTCCAGTGGCACCTTTAAGACCAACGAAGTTTAATTCTGGGTATAAGCTTTCACATGCATGCACACAAAAGCTTACACCCAGAATTAAACTTTGTTGGTCTTAAAAGGTGCCACTGGACACAAACTTTGTTCTATTGCTTCAGACCAACACGGCTACTCACCTGAATCTATCTGTCAGGAAAGAATATAGTGAAGCAAACTGCTGAACAGCTATGAACAGGTCAAGAAACAGTCAAATGAATTACTAAAAAGTCAGCTCCCTGTTTCCAACCAGCTAACAGCATATGAGCCAGACCAGCCTGTGTTCCAGCATCCTTACACAGCATCTCTGAATATCGGTCAAACACTAAAAGATGCTTTAGTAAGATATTGAAAGTGTACTATATTACCCTTATTAGGATTTTGGTCTTCATTATCATGATTTACATTGTGGTCCTCTGGATCATCAGGGCTCTGTAGGTGAGACTCATCTGCATAATAAATAGAAATAATTACTTGTAATCTTTTCATTTCCTGAGCCATCACACAAACTATGGGAAAATCAACATTCAATTCATATATGATACTTTGTGCTAAATGTAATTTAGAATAAGAATCATGATTTAAGCTCAAAGTACAGGGGGAAAAACTATATTTCAGAGCTGTTTGTCAGGATCAAAAATCAGTAAATCCACTGCCTCACTGCTGTCACCTGCCCACCCAGGAATGTTTTACATGGGTTATTTACTACCGGATCAATGCCCTTCAGCAGTGCAGTTCTTTTCCCGCTTCCCCACATCATCATGGTGCATTCATGCTCTTCCTGGGTTTCCCCCAGCTTTTCTTTCTCAAACCTGCTTTACTGAGAAGCCTGGGTGGTTCCGGTGTGGGCACAAAACTGTGGTTTTGTTGTTGTTGTTCAGTCGCACAGTCGAGTCCGACTCTTCGCGAACCCATGGACAAGATCTCGCCAGGCCCTCCTGTCTTCCGCCGTCCTCTGAAGTTTGCTCAACTTCATGTTCGTTGCATCTATGACACTGTCTAACCATCTCATCCTTTGCCGTCCCCGTCTTCTTTGACCTTCAATCTTTCCCAACATCAGGGTCTTCTCCAGTGAGTGCTCCCTTCTCATTGGGTGGCCAAAGTATTTGAGCTTCAGTTTCATTATCTGGCCTTCCAGGGAACAGTCAGGGTTGATTTCTTTTAGGATTGACTGATTTGATCTTCTTGCAGTCCAAGGGACTCTCAAGAGTCTTCTCCAGCACCATAGTTCAAAAGAATCTATTCTTCGGCGCTCGGCCTTCCTTATAGTCCAACTCTCGCAGCCATACATGACTACTGGGAATACCATCGCTTTGACCATGTCAGTTAATATTGTTATAACATTATAACAATCTGCATATGAGGTTCCCGGAATTCCTAGCTTTAATTTTTTAAAAATTAAAAAAATTAAATTAGCCTTTTTCAATGTAGATATTTATATTTATATAGATTTAGATTTCTGCAATGATATACAGATTATGATAATGTTATAATGATATTCGGTTGCCAGGGGTTTCCTAATGGAAAATCCCCAGTGGTACAGATGGTGGTAACTACTGCCAGGGGACTGGGGCAGGGAAAACGTGAGGAAACTTGCCATGTGGATGCCCTGTTACCACTGCTGTCCCCATGTGGAAAGCACCCTCAACTCTTCACTGCTCCTGCAGCAAGCCACATATATCCTAGAAAGGTTCCTGAACTCTTTCAATTTTACATTAGTTTGCAAGAATTCAGATATCATTTTGGTTGCCCTGAAAAATTAGCTGTATCTCATCAGACTTTGTGACTGGCATGTGTGATGTACCACACTACTTTAAATGAGGCCTGGGGAATGAGGAGGTAAAGAGGATTATCTTAAGGCTGCTGGCCTTAAAAAAAACCCAGGCAGATAATGTAGAAAATGTTGAGCACTTTTAAGTGAGTTTAACAAGTTAGAGTCACAAGTAGGAGAACTGAGAAAAACTTCTGCATGACACTTCAGAAAACCATTGATAGACAGTAATAAGTTTGAGAACCAGAAGTCTTCTGGCAGCTTAAAAACGCTTATCCTTGCAAAACAGTATTAGAATTTGTCATTGCTGGGCTAGTGGGACTAACAGTTTGGACCAGATGACTTCAACTTCATTTGTTTATGTTAATACAGAAAGGAATGGTGCTATTCACATCATCAATATGTCTAATTCTCAACAAGACCAAATCTGTGGATACTTGAATCCAGAAAGTGGAACCATGAACAGACATGGCAGATCTTTCTACAAGACTTAAAAATACCCCAAGTTTGCAGAAAAATCTGAAATCTTAAAAAAAAAAAATTGGAGGGGTTAAAACCCCCAGAATAATAAAAGCTGTGCTTGTAACTTTAAAAAAATGCCCTCAGCATCCATTGTTAGACAACCATACACTCGTCTAGCTTTGGTTTCTATCAATAAAAGGGAGGGTGAGAGGGCACGGCTCTTTCCAGGTCTGTTTTGGCCTTTGAGGGGGACTCATCAGGGCCAAGCCTGGCAGCAACTACTTGGGAACTTGTATGACTCACCCAGGCTTGGCAGCTTACTACTTTCAACAGCAGCCACCCCACAAAAGCCAGTGTGGAGTAATGGTTAGCGTTTCAGATTAGGATCTGGAAGACTCAAGTTAGAATCGCCACTCTGCCATGAAAGCTCACGGGATGACATTATCACTCAAACTTACCTCACAGTATTGCTGTGAGGATAAAATGGAGAAATGGAGAATGATGTAAGCTGCTTTGGGGCCCCATTTGGGGAAAAAGGTGGATAGAAATAATAAATATATCTGAAGATTGGTGGTAGATAAAAGGTAGGTAGGTAGGTAGATAGGTGGGTGGGTGGGTCAGAAGGTGAGAAGGAAGCAAGGAAAGGTAAGGATATGGAGGTTGCCAAGAGGGGTGAAAGAGGCAATAGTTTGGGGAAGGGGATACAGAACAAAATGAGTCTCTCCTCCATCCTTGCAGGTTCGTTAACTGCATAACTGGGCCCAGCCTGATGGTCTGTGCCGCACAACTGGGCCACAATTTTCCTGGGTAGAGGCTGCAAGGGGTAGGAAAGGGGGGAAAAACCTGAAGACAGGGGTACAGATAAAGGTAAGTTAGCTGGTGAGTTGGAAGAAGAGAAGACTATGGAGACTTTCAGGGAAGGGAAAGAGGAAAAAGTGGGGGAGTGGAAACCTGGATGCCCCTCACAAGTCCTTGCAGGCCCCCACTGTTTAATTAATTTTGTGGCATAGTGGTACGTATATGGGACTAGGACATGGGAAACCCACATTCAAATCCCCACTCTGCTACTGAAGCTCATTGGGTGATCTTGCACACGCTCTCAGCCTAACCTACTTTGCAGGATATTTGTGGGGATAAAACGGAGGAATGAAGTCAGCCACTTTGGGTCTCACTGGGGAGAAATGCATGCTTATACATGAAGGAAATAAATAAATAAATCTCAGTTATACCTGTAGGATGAACACCATATGGAAACTGAGTAGCGCCTTCATTAAAGCTGGTGTGGAAGATACCAGATGTAATAACATTGGGATCTGTTGTTCCTCTGTCATTTGCTGAACCACTGCCCATGCTACTGTCATCATCAGTAACTGGTGGCAGTTCTGTGTACAGGCTTCCCCCAATGTATCGTGTTCCATCAGCATTGGAAATTTCTGTCAGAAAGAATATGCCATTTTACATTGGTTAAATATAGATGACCATTAGCCGGTGGTAAATTACCAAAGTGTGCAGAGGTAAAGTTATCCTAATTATGTAACAGAATATTACAAATGGCTGACACAATAAGTGGTTACATATACAACATAGGAAGTTGCAACTTAGTATATGGCTCTCTTTGGAATACAACTCTCTCTGGTCTACACAAAGTATTCTGTGCATGGAATAGGTTTCTTGACCCAAGAACTGTGGAATGTATCAAATATGTAATAAACAAGCCTGCAAAGACAGTAAAAGGTTTTCCAACATACAGCATCATAAAGAAGTCTCTACATACGCAGAGCTTTGCAAATGCACTAGGGCCCACCAAACTTTGGACCATGCCCTCAGTTAGCGTTATGAAACTTGATTTCTGTGGGAAACACATAAAATTACTGGCTTCAGAGGGTCGTGAAGGGATACATAGGCCAATCCCCTCTTGGCACAATTTGCTAGCTTTAAATTATCCAAGAAAGATTCCACTTATGGGTTTCCAGGGAAAGAAAGAATTTAATGATGAAACTTGTCCAACTTGTCTATTAACTGTAAATGTACTGTGAAACTACTAAAAACCACTGCTTCTTATTATTCCTTCACTGTTCTTGACAGAAACTTGTGGCAATGTTTAGATATATTAAAAATCTATTAAATTTTTATTTAGCATTATAGTAAGCTAATACCAGTCTGTATCCTGATCCATGCTGTTAATTACAATATACATCATGTACATGACATTAAGAGTCCAGGACAGTAACTTACGCTACATGTAAAGAGTTGTATCCTACCACTACATTGAGTTAATGACCATGTCATTTTCTGGTAGAGGAGGGAGCCTTCCTTAGACGTAAGAGGCTCTCCTACCTTCAGAAAAGCCTCTTGCATCAGGGGAAGATCCTGCCATTAGTTGAGCAGAGGATAGGATACAACTCTTAGCACGTTCTAGATTCCTCTGAGGATAGCCTTGAATGTTATAAGAAGCGTCAGAAAAGCAGATGTGGAGGTACACCCATGCTTTGAATTGCTGGTGTTTTTTAATGTGCACATGAAGGACAAGCATATGAATCCCATGGGACCATGCAAGGAAGTATGCACACATTATTAATGTATGTAGTGCTACCAGTGCACACGGTACTGCTATATAGTAATGTTAGCCACAAACTCTGGCCACTACCGTAGTGGTAAAGTTCTCATTTCGCACATTACATAAGCAGCAGAAAGCAGAAATATGAGTGTGCTCTTTGACTTTTTGTTACTGCCTCTAACATGTAAGTTGTGGAGGCTATACCATTCCTAACAAAGCCAGGAGGCAACAGCAAACCACTGTAAGTTTGATTAATAGGGTACTACTTCTTTTGTAATTTGGTTTAATAATAATATGGATGGCTTTTAATCAACTCGGTACTGATAAAACCTGATTCTTGCAGGTGGATTATTGATAGTTTCAAATTAAGTAAATACTTATACCATCAAATTGCAATCAAGTATTATTATATAGATGCACATGTATGTATGTATGTATGTATGTAGGTATGTATAAAGATTCTATTCTAAAATTTATACAGAAATTGGGGAGAGGCCCTGGCTCAGTGGCAGACCACCCATTTCACATGCAGAAGGTTCCAGGTTCACCACCCAGCACCTCCAAATAAAGGAACAGGTAGCAAGCAATGTGAAAACTGAGACCCTGGAGAGCCACTGTCAATCAGAACAAAATAAAGCTGACCATGGTCCCTGCCACATGGCAGGGAAAACACTGGCCAAAGTGCGGCTTTTAAAAGCCGCACCAAAAAAGAGACGCCGTGCCGGGATCCCACAATCCCCTGAGCCGCGGTGTTGTTGCTCCCCGGCACGATCAGATGCTGGGGAGGAAGAGACGCAGTACGGCCGGGGGGCGGGGATGCCCCGGCGGAAAGACGCGCCGGCGATCCCACGGCCGGCAGTGATGCGGCCTTTTTTGCTGCGGGGTTTGGCCGGGAGGGGCGGATTGGGAACGGGCTGGGAACGGGCGCAGCACAATTCCCAGATGTTGCTGTGGGATCGCGCCCATTTCCTACGGCCCCGATCCGTCCCTCTCCCG